AGTCTCCCTAGTTTTTGCAAAGGAATTGTAATGGATTCCTACAATGGTCACTCTAACACAAAGGCATTCAATGTCATGCCCCAAAAGCCATCAAATGTAGTTATTTTGAAATTAGCTGTGTCTACTTTGACTTCACACATTTTCAGAGTTGTAGAGACAGCAAAATCCCAAGTGCTCAGGAAGGGATCCTACAGAAGGAACATTGTACTGCAGACAGCCAGTTCTGAGGGTGAATGGAAACAAAGTTAAACAGCATTATGAGTTGAAAAGGCATGAAACAGCTCCCAGGGCTGTCCGTAAGGGAAAGAACAGGGCAAAACAAGATGAAAACGTTGTCCTAAGAAAACATACCAGTTTTATAACTGGCAGACAGTGAAAGAGAGAATTTTAAATCTGATATACTACAGCTCACTCAAAAGCTGAAATTCTTCTACCAAGAACATATTTAAGTAAAGGCATCAGCCCTAAGGGAAAGAGCATTCCCAAGTATAATGGCACCCCTGAGTGCTGACCAGCTGTATTGCTCAAGCAACAGACAACCCATCTGCTGAGATTCTGCTGAAATCTCTACCTTTGAAACCACCAAGCCCAGCAGAAACTCTTGCAAATAGACGTTTAAAAAAATAATTTTTTTTTAAAAAGGAACATTTCCCACCTGAAAGATGAAAAATACACTGAACGTGGCCATTTTGGAGAGAATTCAAATAATACATAAGGGACCTGTAAGCATTTGTAGGCAACAAGAAGGACTCAGAACAGTTATAGACTGAGGTTGAATGGATCTTAAAACACATGTGGCAAACAGCAGTTTCATTATGGGCTCCTACTAAAGCAGCAGTGACCTGCAATTGCAGTGTGATACCTGCACAGGAGCTACAGAGGGCTCAAGCAGAAAACACAGCTCCCACCGCTGGCATGTCTTTAGTGTGGGAAACAGCCCCAAACTACTAATAGCTGTTATTCCTACAGCAAAGCCTGTAGAAATGTCAGGAAACCAAAGTTACAGAAACCTTCAGGCAACTGCAGGAAGTTCAACACTACTTTACGATGGCAACAAAATGGACTTTCTGACTCTCCAGATGAGTGTTTGCAGGTTATTAGTATAGAATCTCTAAACTCTTTAATTTGGAGGAAATAAGTGAAGTATTATATTACCCTCTTTCTTTATAAGTGGAAGAAGTAGGACTGAAAGTGGAGTTATAGACAGGAACATTTTGCAATAGGATTATCACAGACTACTTAAAAAGGTGAATTTGAGGAAAACCTCAAGGCTTTTAAAGACGCTTACTGTAGAACTGCTGATTTCCCTGAGTGGCAATAGTGACAAAATAACTTACATGACAAATAATACATACTCCTCTCAGCCATGTGGTGATAAGGTCATGCTGCACTCAGTGGAATACAGCTGGGACACATTTGGCAGCATTGACAAAGCATGAAGTGTCTCCAAGCTTCACCATATTACAACTTCAACCCAAACCAGAAATAAACTAAGCTCCTGTATGAGGCAGTGCAGGTATGTCAGGATGGCAGTAAAAGGCAGGAAAGCAGAAATTTGCTTCTGAAGAGATCAATCCCTATATTTTGCAAGAGCACAAAATGTGCCTGTGAAGCCCATGATTAAGAAACTCTTCCAGGTGCTGCTGATGCCAGGAGAGTGATTACAGACTCCAGCTGCTTATAACCCTTCTTTCTCTCTCATGCCCCCTCTTCCCTCTCTGTTCTGCCTCTTTCACAGCTCTCTACACAATATGGGTCTGTAAAAAGAGGCAGTTAGGAAAAAATTAAAAACCAGTACTACATAAAGCAAAGAGCTGCACCTCTCCTGAGAAGGAAGGATGGAAAGGCAGGTGAGCAGTATATCTACACTGTTCACTGCCTTATCCAGTTGTACTCATGGCCACCTACTGCACCACCTAGTAGTAATTCATTTATAAGTTATGGTTGGACTAGTTTGCAGAACCAGGCTGGGGACAGACAAACTTACTTGTCTTACTTTGCAGACAGCTCAGCTATTAGAACCAAGAGAGCATTTATTCATAGCTGCAGCAGGGTGGATGACAAGCGGGAACAACACCCAAAACATCTCCAGTAGTGCATAGAAGTGTGAGCTGTCCTTCTGAACTAACTGCAGTGAATGGATTGCCTTGTTCCTGGCGAAACAGAAACAAAATAGGACTGTGCATGTCTAACAGGATAGAAAGGTTGCTTATTGTTGCCACAAGAAGTCCACCTATGATACAAGAGGTGTTGTTCTTGCTGCCTGGCAGCTTGCACTTCTACAGGGTCAGCACAGTTCAAAACAATCATCATGTGGCACTAGAGATGGGAACGAGGACTCCATTATGAGAAGCAAGGACTGGTATCTGCACATTTGAGTACATTTGTTCATTTGCTATGTCACCAGGTATTAGTGGTGTGTTTCAGGTGTAAAACTCTGCAAGGGTGAAATCCCCTATTTTCTATTCCTTTGCTTTTATTTTAACTTTAATCACAACTATGTAAAACATATAGAAAAATACGTAGGTCTAATTCAAATATGTAGGCACGAGCAAACAGCTTTGCAGTATCTCATGGACCAGTATTTTGACTAACTTGCTCAGACATCTTGTTCTTTCCCTCTCACCCAGAGACACTGTTTGCCCTAAATGCCAGTACACACTGTCTCCCACTAAGCTGACAGCCAAGCTCAGCAGTCTCTGCTGAAGGATATCATTCCATGTTCTGGTACTCCTAATGCAGGGCTGACTTCAAGTCTGTTTTTACTTTAACCTAAGATGACTAAAGTGTTTACCAAAGCCAGCTGCTGTTCACAGGATAGCTTGGTAATTTTATGATGGCTCTTTTCTAATAAATCAAACACACAGAGAGGAGGTAATGACAAGTTAACATATGTATGCTATCTCATAAAACAAACAAAATATAAACATAATAATATCATCAGCATGATTCCAGACATGCTCATGCTGCCTTTCCTAAGCCCACATGCTAGACAAGTTCCTACCAAGTCCACTCAACATCGCCAAGAGTCTGCCTAAATGAAAATGAATCAGTGAGGGAATTACAAATGTAGCTGCTGTTGAAAAAAGACAGAGACTCCGCTTGCTCTTCTATTGGGTCTTTGTCAGCTGGCTACCTCTGTTTCCATCATGTTCAAGGCCCCTTGCCTCTACTTCCAGCTAGTTTATAGCCCTGAACTCTCCATGGGGGAGCACCTGCATCTCTGCCATCCTGGCTCCCCTGTGACCTGTCAGGATCACAAGCTCTTCCTGTTCTGCTACACCCTTCGGTTCCCACAAACTCACTAGCAAAGCCTGCAAGGTCCTCTCCTTTCTCCAGCCCTGTGTTTCTGTGGCAGAGAGCCTTGCACCTAGCCTGGTGTCCAGGAGGTGCCAGTTTGTTAACATGCCAGTTAAACATGATTCGGTTTACATTTCTAAATAGTTTAGATGAATATGTACTTTTACCGAGGTAAGTAGGTCTCTACCACAAACTGCAGTGATGGCAGTATTTCAGAGATGACCTATGGGTCTCACTCCAATGGGGCTTTTACAACAGATGTTTTCATTGATGTTTTGAAAAGTAAAAGAATCCCTAAACTCAGATGCTCAAAATAAATAATCTTTTCTTATCAAAGTAATTTTATAAAATAAGAAACCTTCTCTCCTGTTGAAACTCTTTTTTTTTTTAAAACCAGTCCAGCCTAATGTTCAAGAAGGGCCTTAATGATGATTTTTGTTGTCAGTCTTCTTTGGCAAGGAAGCTGTTTTTCTCTTCAGTTAATGATGCTCTGGAAACAAGGTTGCACAATTTATATCCTTGCATAGTGACAGATCAGTCAGTTCAGCTGATAGAGCTTTACACGATGCTCCTCTGCTGCTACTCAGCGCTGACTTGTATTTTTATAGTTTCCTTTGAAGGCTCAAATGCTTCTTATCTGTCTAAGAAGTGGGGTTGCCTGAGGGTAACCGAGGTGAAACTGGTGAAACCGAGGTAACCTGGTTTGCTGACCAGGCCATTCTGAGTAATATTGGGTGCAGTGCTTCTTTACTTCAAGGAATGCTGTTTCCAGTAATACCTTTACGTGATGTTTATCCTGCTCAAAAACTGTAGAAAAACAAACTCAAGAGCTATTCTTTAAATGAACCAAAGAGTAAAGTCTGCAGGTGACTTTTTGGGAGAAGAAAAAAAATTAAGCAAAATGCAACAAAATATGAAAAGGAACCATTTTGGTTCACTGTGGGTTAATTAAATACCAACATACTTTGTCAGATGAAATTCCTTCATTTTCTGTACCAAAAAAGAATACTCAAACTACCTTATAAGAACTTATTAAAGTCAAGAGGGTCTTTCAAGAGATTTTTGGTGTCTTTTAATCTGAACTTTAAAAAATATGATGCAACTCTCATGGTAACAGAGGCATTTTTTACAGAGGGAAGTTTACACAAGCCACAGCTCCAGTTACGGTAACCCTACCTCAGATCCCAGTTTAGAAGTCCCCAGTCCTCACCAATGGAGAGAAATACCAGATCAGAACAGCACACTTAAGATGTTCTTTGAAATAAAGGACAAACTTATGTACATGCCCTGACCCAAGGAGGCTTTTTACCAATTCCACTAATCTCTAGACTCTGGTGCTCATAACACAACTGCTGCAACTTGATTCCCCCAGGTAATTATAAATTCAGAAAGGATTATTGTAAAATTCATGGCCAGGACCCAAGACTACTGAAGTCTGTCAATCTTTTTTATGTTCTTTGTTGTTATGTTTTACAGCTGCAAAGGAATAATTAGAAAAAAATGAAGGTCTGCATAACAAGTAGATTTTTCCATATTTTTTCCACTGAAACTTGCTCAGCTTGTTCTTATACTTTTCACTTTTAGAACACATTGGTTGTTCTTTCTTAAATGTCAACAAAACTAAAAAGCTGAGCATGTAGCAGAGCATATCCGTAGCTTGCAATGATTCCTGCCAAGATGAAACACAAACCTGGGCTCACCTTTTCATTTTTCTTCTTGAGCAGATCACCAGCTGTTGTCTCCGAGAAAACATGCATCCTAAAGGGATGTCCAGCTCCTGCCTTGCAAACTCTACGTTTTTTAACATGATGTTTTACACTTGAATTATGAATTATTAATGTTTTCACCTTCTCTACCAGAGGTCCTACAAGTTTCTGTAGTCCAGAAACACTTTGTTCAAGTCCATCTAGCCTTTTAACCTGCTGCTCTGCTTTCCTGTTTATATCAGAAAGAGATTTTTTCATTTTAAGGCAAAGTCTCTTCATTTCATTATTTCTCATTTTTTTATTTCTTTCCATCCTTGATCCAGGTTCAGATGTTTCCACCTTTACCATCTCCATGTCTTTTTCAATGCAACAGATTTCTTGGGAAACACTGTTAAGCTTCTTAAGGACATTGTCTTGCAGAGTCAACAGTTTATCAATTTTCTCTTCAAGGGAGGCAAACTTCACATCCATGATGTTGAAACTTTCAGATGTTCTGACATCACTTCTCTCAACATGCAGAATTTGAGGAGGTTCCATTCCATTATCTGGCCCTTGGTTTCGCAAAGTGTTTGGATTGAGTATTTTGGCCAAGTTGTTGACCATAGACGTAGAAGAGCTCTGCCTGCTGGATGTGGTCATTTTGCTGGTTTGGGTATGGGAAGGAAATGCTCTGATGATCAGCTGCTTGAGGACAATATCAGTTGCAAAGGCTTTCCATCCAGGCTGCTCAGATATACAGCCAAGTTTGGCAACTCCAGCTCAACTAATTAATAAACTACTCTCATGTATTTGACTAAAACAGAGAAAAGAGACACCCAAATTATTTAGCAGAAAAATGCCTTTCATCCATTCTTTTCTTTACACACACATATATATCTATCTGTTTCCAAATGAAGTGAATAGAGAGATGCATATCCTAAATGCACTCGGTTCAGTGACATCAGCCCTAGCAAGGACCAAACTATTTGCACTCCAATGGCATTTGACAGCAAAAAGGCTACGCGATACATGAGAAGTAATTAAGGGTAGAGAGATTTTGGCAGTGGTGTTGTTGCTTTTCAAAAGCCTAGTATGTAATGTGATCCCTGCTCTGAAGAGAATAAGGGTCCTTACAGGGAACTTAAATGTAGCTGCTTGAAATTGCTATGTTTTAAGGAAAACTTTTTAGGTGAAAACTTCTATTCCTTGAAAAGCCTGTTATGCCAGGCAGGAAGCCAACAGAGCAGTTAGAAAACAAATACATTAACAAAAATAAAACAGGAAGGAGATGCTGGAATGCAAATATTTTGAAAAATAAAAAATAGAAAAGTATCAGAGCCTTTTATCCTATCCTATGTCTCAGCTACCATATAGCCAGCTCTATATGCATTAGTAATTAGCTCCATAGCTAATATCTTCATTTAGTTCTGTATTTATCAAGGCTGTTCTAATTTGCCACAAATTAAGAGGCTTATGTTTTACTATGATCTGGTCATACAAATACCAAAACAGAACATTTGATAGACACTCAGCTCTTTTCTTTGTTTGCCTGACAGTAAATGTCTCATGATAAGTAATTAATATTCCTAACTCAAACAGTATAATTAAGTTTTGTTTTTGCAAAAGACCTTCGTTTCTTTCAGAAAGACAACATAGGACAAAAAAGAAATTTCATTACTGGGAACAGGTCTTCCCTAAGAGTAGGTGTGAATTGTTAAACACATTTCATGTTGGTTAAAAAATGAAAAGATAATTTAAATGAAAGAATAAAACCAGAATTTCTCATCTCAAGACAGCTATACTCCACAGGAGCAAGAAGTAAATCAGTATGGATCATCTTGATGATCATAATACTGCCTCTGAAACACAAAGAAACAGCTGCCTTGGAAAAATGACTGTCATAGATTGACCACACAAAGGTCAGTCTGCAAAGCTGACACATCTTTTATAGAAATAAACTCATAAAATTGGCCAGCTAGTTGAAAAACAGCCAGACTATTGCTCTGCTCAAAGGATCAGGAGCTTCTTTCGTGACCCCTGTGAAATATTTCTTTTGCCAACCATAGTTTCTTCATCCTTTAAAGAGGGAGCATGAGGGATAATTAAGGGACATAGTGAGTTCTGGATACGTAACACACTAAATAGTCTTTCACAATTGCATGGTCTTCTCTTCAATTTTAGGTGCCAAACATGTCTTTTAGAGTCAATCACAGCTGAAGCTTTCAAAAGCTTCCAAATGCATTCTCCCACAATCATTTGTGATTCAACATGTAGCCAGTGTTGATAAGGATAAGCTAATTCAGGAGCTTGTTCTCCAGTTACTGCAGGTTCATAAATACATTTGTCACCTTCTGGGATCAGCATGTTACTACAAGTGAAAGTGAACTGTATTCATGCATGACCCTAAAACATGGATTGAAATCTCTTCTTTAAAATACAGAAATTACCAAGAGGTAATATGTGTTACCGTGTACAGCATATTCACTGAGAAGGCTAAATATTTTTAAAACAGAAAACAGGATTTTTATAAAAACAATCAACCATTTAAAGATCTCTGTTTCATGAAAAGAATAATATGCAGGACAGCAGTTAAAAAAGAGGAAGTAATAACAAAACAAAGAACATCACATAATCTCCAGCAAAGTAGTTTTGTTTGAAGCCCATTTTCTTATTCTGTTAATCTCTGCTAGAAACATGAATTAACAGTTTCATATCTGCAGAGGCCCCTGCTGGACACAAACTTCCAGAAGAGGCATTTGCATGTCAGTTAACTGGCCAGGTTTGAAAAGGCATTTATCTTGGATGAAACATCCCTGCAGGAATTCATGGTCAGCTTCCCCCTGTCCCCTGCCATCCCTGCACATAAAAAATAAGGTTAAAGACCTTATTAGACCTTGCCACTCATTCAGCTAGGACTCCTGGCCTAGGGAATTTCATAGGCAAAGACTGTTAGGCACAAGGATCCTATTCAAAGGAAACACTTTGTTAAAGCAAGAAATTATTAAAAGAAAAAAGGACATACAGATAGCAATGGTAAAATCACATGTTATATTACTGTGCACAGCCACATATGTTAAACATTTAAATCTCTTCTAACAGTTGCCCAGGGAAATACTATGTGAAATGCCTCAAACCAGTACTATAAACACCAATAAAAGTTTTAAGCTCTGTGAGGTAAGATCCTATTATCAAGTATCATCTGTAAAGTCCTACTTTACCATGACATACAACTGAAAGGGTAGAAAGCAAACTACAAAAAAGCTTCATTAAAAGTGCAGTATGTTAGCAGTTCTGTCTGAAGGTGAACTGGAAGAGAGAACTGCTCTGTAGGGGCTTGAAAATATGAATAAATGAAAGAAAACTAACATCAGCTTGATTTCTAGGCTCAGAAGGCTCTTGCCAGTAACTTCACACCTGGGAATCTGTGATCGCTGCCTCTTGGTCTGTAAACTGGAAATAACCTTACATATTCAGATGCTTTTCAGGAGTTCAGTGACAATTAATTACTTAAGGGAAATTGTTCTGTAAAAAATAGTGTAAGTATTTGAATATTTTCTTCTTAGTACTGTGAATTATTACTGCTACATTATGCAATTCAATAATACTATGTGTAAATAATTTGAGCCATTTATAATAAACAAATAGCTGAATGCAGTTTTTCTAGTAACTAAGATAATCTCTTAGCACTTGTACATATAAATGCACAAAGTAAGCCCACATAACAGAATTCTTATTTTCATCTCACAAATTTTAGTGATGACTGATCACTGGATTTGCACAGCACCAAATATGCTTAAAAGTCTGTTGGAAAATAAGGGTATGAGCTGCAGGAATAGGTATTTTTCATGAACTGAAAACAAAGAAATACAACTGATTGAAATACATTAGAAAGAAAGCAATTCCACTAGTTTTAAAGATGACATACTTCTCCTTGTTCCCAATATTGCATAATACTACAATTCAGCATATTAACACTAGGCTGCTGCACTATGGCAGTGACAATGTCAGCTCTAAGGCTGACATTGAACCCTGGAAATTTTTTCACACAGGTGTAACAAACACCTGCTAATCAACTGAGAAAATATATGGTATTTGCTAATCTGCCATACAGCTTAATTTCTTTAATACAGTTGCTGCTCTGTTGATGATTAATTCTTTTGAGTGGCTTTTGCATAAATGAAAGTTAACCTGTAGCTCTCTTTTACTTCAAGATCAGATGGAAAAGGCCTTAAAGCAGCATATACAATTTTCCAAGTGTTGTGGCACTGAAAATTTGGAAGAAATAGCAATGAAGTACCAATGGATACATTGCTCCTGCTGTGACTTTCACATTTTTAACATGTCTGCAGATATGATACAGTGAGCCTGTAAGAGATGGCATAAAACTCTGTACCTTATACATATCTTAACATAGTTAAACAAGCTATAGTTGAAGATTGGACAGACTGGAGAAGTAAATTTTTCCTTCTGATTTCTCTCTTGAACTCAAATTTCATCCAGTGTTATTTTCTCTGCATACACAAATATGGAAAGCTGGCTAGCATTAGGAAATTATCCCAGCATAGTTCTATTAGCTGTCTGCTTCTGAACAGTGAGCCTCCAGTTCAGAGATGCCCAGACCAAGCTTTTAGCACATTCTGCCCCAAAGCCTGTAAAAGGCAGAAGGACCTCAGTTCTACAGTGTTTGGATCTCAGTCTCATAGGCATTAGAGAAAAAAACATTTTAAAAAGAAATTATAGCCCAAAACATCTGAACTGTTTCTAATCAGTAAAAATATGCAATATTTGTGGTTCTTTTAATTTCACATGACAACTTATCAGTCCAAAGAAAGCCTGCTTTCTTCTTAAAAAAGTTGTCCACTAAGTTTTCATCAATTCTTGGTCCTCTGATCATAAAGCTGATCTGTTAACTACCCTGTCTTACCTTATCTTGTTCTACTGGACCCATGTTACCAGGAGTTACTCTCTCCCTCCATGCTTTTTTAGACTGAGTCTTCTCAATTTAGTTCAGTTCAGTTCTCCATTTTTCCTAACAATTAAAGGTCCAGACAGTGCACCTCATAAATTTATGTCTGCTGGCATCAAACATTATAAACAAGAATACAAGTGGAAATATTTTACTTGTAGAGTCTTATTCCAACATTTTTAGGCTGTAAGCCAAGTATCAGGATATGCCATATTTTGTGGAAGACTGCTGCAACTGAACTTTATCTAGAAGATATGGTACACATTCATTAATTTTGAGTTTTTCTGAACAAGGTATCTCCAAAGCTTCCATGTCCAGTTTAATATTTTACGGCAATGGAGGATTGGGGTGCTTCTCCCTCCAAAATAACATGGGGCCACCTGCCATGCATGAGTTTGTAGCATGTGTGTGTTGCACACACCATGTTCCAGCCATTCTTCACTCATGTTCTCCTTTACATTTCTGTACCTGTGTCCTGGCAAGGATTGGGTTAACATAGGGAGTATATTAAGGGGAGTGGGCTGCAGGTATGTGAACAATTAGTTCTGACTTACTTTCTGACTTTTCCAAAAATACTGTCAAAATTTCCCTCGGTGCAATTGATTTCATCCTGTGCCATCCATGGATGACTAGAATAATCTGTTCTTTTCCCTTTTGCGAATACAATTAATGTATTCGAAGTTTATTATTGCATCTCCCTCTCAGTGTCCTCCCAAATATATAGTTACATTGCACACAAAAACATATTACCATTACTTAGAAGTGATCAGTATTGAGAAAAATGGGGGGATTTTTTCTTGAGTATTTTTCTGGAGAAGTTGCTTTCCTAGATGAAAAGAAATAAAAGATGTTGTGAATTTTTAATAAATTCATTTGTGAAAATGGTACAAGCTAACATGTTATGCTGTATCTCCAGGAAAACAAGCTAACATTTTGCTTTCCTTAAAATATATGAATCTTCTTTATCTTCTTTTCTATTAAAAAAAGCAAAAAAAAAAAAAAGCAAAAAAAAAAGCTTAAGCCTTTAAAATAAAACCTCAGGACATAGAAGAGGAAAACTTCATAAATATACTTTTATATTCAT